TGAGCAGACGAGACATCGCCTTCCGCCCGGTCCATCTCCACTCCCCCCCTTCCCAAAAAAACATTAGCGCCTAGATAACAACTCTCAGGAAGAAAACAAGTTCAGAGCCGTTGAGATAATGATGGGGAAAAAAACTTCAGAATCGATTTGATGTCATCCTACTATAAATGAGAAGAGTCACAAGGCAGTGCCTCTGCTTCTTCCTCAGAGGCGCTAATAATCCCGCGTGACCCTTTACACTACACCTACGGTGATCTCCTAATCTATACCAGTACTTTTCAAAAATCTTGTGTAAGCTGAATAACCTTTACTCATTTATTTATTTTCATATGCACAAGAATAAAATGTGATGAAGTCACTCGAGCTTATTCTTACTCTCAAGATAGCAGTTGTCTGTTCGTCGCGTCGGTAACGGCAGTGAGCACTTTTGTTCGGCTTGTCCGCTCCTTGTTTGGGATTTGGGTGCGAGGCTGAAAGGAAAGCTTTTAAGGATACCGAACGTGGAAATGACTAGTGAACATATAAGCTCTGGGCGCTGTTCGGCGATGGGGGGGGCATTTTGCGCTATCGCTAATTCTCATCGTCGTATCCACCCATCTAGAGAGCCTTTTCGTGAGTTAACAGGTTCCACCACTGTGGCTCGATGATTGCTCCAGCTCCACAGGAATTCACAGGTATCAACAGGTAAAAAATGCAAACCGAAACTAGTGGGGCTATGAAAGTGCAAAATTCCCCCGTCGCCGAACTGCGCTCAAGCTCTGTATGCAGAGTAGTCTACTTACCGTGCAGGGACTTGAATACTTCCCATGAATTATCTCGTCGTAATGTCCACGTAGTATGTCTCTGGTCATCGCTATGCTCATGTTGCATACGTCCTCAATTCTAGGTAGCTAAATATCTCGTAAGAAAATCTTAGAAACCACTGAGTAACTCACCTCTCCTTCAATGACAGCATCGTCCTTCTGCTCCACCTTTCCTTCCATGTTATGGATTCTTTTCATGTGAGCATCAACAAATATCTCCTTACCTGTTATGGACTCTTTCACTCTGTGAGCACAACAAATATCTCCTTGCTATGGGTGAACTTGCAATACGGGCACTTATACTTACGATAGTCAAAGTGAGCTCCGACGTGAAGTCGCCTGGAATATTTCCTGAGCAGATTGTGGCACTCCTTCCTGGGGAACGAATTCCGAACAAGGATCCCGTCCAGGCCAAACGGCTAATCACGTTTGGACTCCAGCAATTCGCACGCGTGCTCCATTTTTAAGATTGTCTAACCACCAAAACCCCTGAAAACAGTTACACAAGGCCGTGATTCACAATCGTGACCTCATTCTTAGCGCTGGCGTCAAGAGATGACACTGCGACTACCTCCTGGGCTCAGCCTTAACAGAGCGCAGATAGTCGTAGTGTCATCCATTAGCGCCACGGCCAATGAATGTCAAATTCGTAATCAGGAGGGGGGGGTTGTTAAAACTACCCCTATACACACCAGTTACATATATACAAGTTTTTGCGACTGGTGACTTAGCGCAATTTAAAAATGAGCTCAGGTGCCAAAATGCTGGAATCCAACGCATTATCCAGGGCCAATCAAGCCCATGTTCCCCTCCCCGGGTCAGCGAGCTGGTACCAAATTTGTTGGATATAATAACCCTGACTTGGATATCAACTACTCCGCTTTTTGTATGTCCCCATGCATTGCGTGCGCCATTCATTCTGAATAGAAGTAAAATGCGTTGCGTATCTCAAAAAGGGGTCTGATCAACCCCACCACGAATATCCCGGATCCCTTCCCATCTCCTCAGACCAGATATGTCGGGATGAGTTCTGTTGTAGGGTATACATCAGGGCAAATCATCGCTGCTGTTTCTCCAACAGGGGTCGTATTTGGTTCGCTGGGAGGTCCTAATTTGGGATAAATTTCTCCCGATTCGTGATATTGCGCAATATTCTTGCTTGCGGCTTCTCATACACTGCCCCTTCGCGAATTTTTCTATGAAGAAGGTTAGCGAACTTAGAAAACCTGTGAAAGTGTAGCGTAGATGGGAAGGAGGTCGCCGCGATTTTACAGAGCGGAGGGAGGCGACGGACGGGCGGGGGGGACTGATTCGACCGAAATCGCAACTCATGCATGTTGTCCTGTACAGACACAAGTGAAATCCAACAGGATTCTCTCGACGGTTTTCGAGAAATCCCAGAATCCATAAAAAATTTTTAAGATACTAACCGAGCACGCGAGCATACCCATTCCTTGCAGATTACACAGATAATGTTTGGATAATATTTGACATCATTGTGCCTCGCAAATGTAGGTCGGAAGCCTGACAGACCTGAAAACAAAAAATAGGGCACAGAAAAAAGAAAATAATAGTACAGCGACGGGAGCGGGAGTATCTTGCACTTTTGTGTTCCGTCGACGTGTCGAGCCATCCAGAGAGAAGCTTCATGACTTACAAGAGTGAACGGGCACTACCATGGCAGCTCGACGAGCTAGCTCCTTCACATTAGTTAAGAGGTTTCATAAGTTTAAGATATGCCATGCGGAACTACTGTAGCAGCGAAAACGCAAAATGCCCCCCCCCTAGTCGCCGAACTACCCCTTGTCAATACGATAAAATATTACGCTCCTGAACTTTTATAGCTTCCTAATAGAATTACTACAAAATGTTCAGCTTTCTGGAATTGCTGCCTTTCGGCCTCGAAATATCACTAGAGATTCATCGTACCTTCAAATTTCGCCGTTGATGGTAGTGCTGAAGGAGGTTGCAAAGCTGATGGATGGATATGTGGCGATTTCGCGGTGGAGACATGTTCCAGCGCGCTCTTTATGTGGGACCCAGAAATCGCACTTTTTGTTTCTGAAAGTTACAAAGATCAACAAAACGGCAGTGCTCAGGTCTCTGGAGGCATAACAGCTCTGCTATATACTCGACTTCCCCCTACAGAATCCCATCTGTGTTTACTTTCCGAGATGCTCTATCAAAAAATAAACTGTAAAGTCATCCCTGTTGAAGAATTGCCATGCCATGTGCGAGGCGAATGGTTCCGCAGCAGCAGTAGCGTGCCACTCTCAACTCAAAAGTGCACGGAAACGGGGCTGTAGAGCAGCGCTACTCGAATGCAGTTCCCACACTCCGCCCACGCTTTTCTCGAAGTACAGCACTTCCATCGATACGAGGTCCTGCAGCGAAACACGTACTCAGCGGTAGAGAATGTCAGAATTGAGATAGCGCAAGAAAGTAGCGCATTTGGCTACGGCTAGACCCTCGCTGGCTGTGAGGGGAGCGGGCGAAGTATAGAGACGGCATCCGGACATCATTCCACTCTAGCCCGTTCCCGTGCATTTTGACCAGATAAAGTGACAAGCTACTGCGATGAGGGATCCTTGAATTTGCTCATATCAAGCGCCGCCCTCCTAGGTGAGCGTAATTTCTGTCTTAAAACGCCATCAGCAAGAAGTCTGAAGCTTACGAAAGAGCCGAGATGAAAGAGATGTCTCTTCAACCACTGCCCAGCCATAAAGGTCGTGAAGACACATTCTGAGTGCGCAAGGAAGGAGGTTTTGGAGTGGTTCGCGAATGTCTTGACAGCTTCCCTGCTATTATTTTTTAATGTTTTCACCTTCCACACACCACCCCTCCCCCACCTCATCACTGAAAATCTCAAGCGTGACTGACCATAAGACAAGTGATTTGAATGAGGTGGTAGAAGGGACAAGGCGTTTTCGTTTCCCTCCGTTTTTCGAGATATCAACTTTTTTTTCTCTTCTGTAATGCTTATTCCAGAACTGTAATTTGCCAGAAAGGGTGGGTGCAATAAGGTGGCCCAATGAAGCCCTCCTTTCTGCAGCTGACAAGTTCCTGGACGAAAAACGGGAAGAGAACAAGAAGGCGCTAAGGTGATGGGAAAAAGCAGGATCACTGTTCGAGAGGCCAGAAAGAAGACATGAGACAGTGAAACTGTCGCGCCATTCGCTGCGCGATGACCTGACTAGCTCACGATAGAATCGCCCGTCTCTCATATTTTGACATAGTAAAACCCAAGCGACAAAAATGCTTCCGTTTTACATTTGTGCATTGTGAGCAATACATTCCTCATCATTGCGGATCGGTGGGGCGTGCCAGCCAGTATGAGTGTGCACGTTGAAACACGTATGCGACAAAAAGTGGTAGAAAACGAGTAATAGTAAAAAGGATATAATACAGTAATGTCACTTGCCCGCTTCAACAACTGGTGCAGAACGACTTTGGCACCGCGCCAAACGCAGCCGCACTGACACGCCCCACCGGTCCGCAATGATGAGGACTGTACACTGCCGAAACAGACAAAACGCTCAAGCAGAGTCGTCGTGGTGTTCACTGTCTTGATG